CGCATGCGGTGGCATCAGGAGGGGATTTGCCCGGCTGCAAGGAGAGAGCGGGCTTTGATCAGCAGAACATCCCCCAGCCACTAGTCCTCAAGGATATGCACATCTGGGCTGTCAGGGTCCCCCCCCCAATGAAGGAAGCCAAAAAGCCAGAACTGATGTCTGGTTTTTAAATGTGTGGAATTCCTCTCCCACCTTTCCGCCGTGTGGGAGACGGCCCCTCCTTCCACCAGCAGCAACCCTCTGTGACGTGTGTCCTCAGTACTTTCTCGGGGCGCCTGATGAAGCGTATCCACAGAAGCCTGTGCGATAAGAAGCGGCTTAGTCTGCAATAGCCAGCTCACAATAGCCTTGGAGGGTAGGCTGGGCCTGGGTCGAGAGCAAGCGAGTGGCCCAAAGCGGCGTTCGTGGCTGAGTGGGGACCCGAAGGGAGGCTCCCGGTCTTGGTCGAGCGCTGGACCGGTGGGGCCGTCTGGAGGATCGCTCCCACTCACCCTAAGCGTGCAGGATCGTTTCTGTTTGCAGGCTCAGGGTGCAAAGAGGAAGAGAGCCGGGGCAGCCATTGAGAGGAGGGGTGCGGGGGGGGGTGTTTCAGGAAGCCCAAGGAACAGCTGGTAGCGTGATGCTGGTAGGGAACTGGATGGAGGAATGCTGTCCAAGAGTCTTGGAAAACCCCCAGGAGATTTAGCTGGGCTGAAAAAGTGAGGAGGAAGCTGGGCGTGGACAGAGGAGGAAGCTGGTGGAAAATGGAGGAAAGGCGGTTAGTTTTACCCATGTGCCTCTTCTGAAGGTGGCAGTACTTTGGAAAGCTCCTTTTAAGTTGCAGGGACCATCATTCTACCCCAAAGCCACCCCTGGGCTGGTGGTGTTGGCGGGGAGGAAGCCAGCTTTGTGTCCTGTGTCTTCTGGGTGGGGTAGGTGGGGCTTGGACTGGGGGGGACTTCCCCAGTTCTGTCTTGAGTGACCTCCATTTCTTTGCCCTGCCTTCTCTGGCATCAGAGCAGGAGATGTTTCTCCTTAGAAAAGACCTTTCTCAGGCCACACATTTCCTGTTGCCGCAAAAGCAGTCCCTATTTCCCATTTTAACTTCCGAGGCCTGTTTCTAGAAGGGGGGTTGGCTTGCTGGGAATCTCTTCTTCATCTCGGCCTCCATGGATGGTGTTCCCAAAGAGATGCCAGCGGTTGGTTTGCCAGGAAGGCCTGCCATTTTCCAGGGCAAATGTGTAATTTAATGCGACTGACATTTGCTTTGGTCTGTGTGCTCCTTGGGACCCAAAGCAGCTTGCAATTCTCCTGTTTCTCCAGGAGGAAGTTCTGGATTGGACCAAAGGTCCATCTAGAGTTGGGATGGTCATCCTGTAACCCTGATGTTCCCTTTCTTCCCAGGCCTCTGACACCCCCCCCCCCCCCCCCCCCCCCCCCCCCCCCCCCCCCCCCCCCCCCCCCCCCCCCCCCCCCCCCCCCCCCCCCCCCCCCCCCCCCCCCCCCCCCCCCCCCCCCCCCCCCCCCCCCCCCCCCCCCCCCCCCCCCCCCCCCCCCCCCCCCCCCCCCCCCCCCCCCCCCCCCCCCCCCCCCCCCCCCCCCCCCCCCCCCCCCCCCCCCCACAGAGGTTCAAAAGTAGTGAGTGCTTTTCTGGCTTTTGAAGCAGGAAATGTTTGAAAACTCTAAAATAGGTTCTATGTGTTTGCGTGTGTGTATAAATAAATAAATATAAAAGCAAAGCTTTCCCAAAGCTCTCTGCAAAACCTGAACCTTCTGGTCCCATCTATGATTACAACTTGGCCCCGAGCTTCCGCAAAAGTAGTAAGTCAAGTAGTCCAGCCCTTTAGATGGTGGCCCATTCCAGACTTAGGACCTTTTCATGTAAGAACTCTGTGCCAGTTTGAAAACAGCTCCAGACCAGTATGATCCCACATCAGCTCTCTTCAGGAGCAGAACTGATTTATTTCTGGCTTGGCGGTGCTACACTTGGAACCACGGACTAATGCTATATTTAGTTATGGAAGTACTGTGACTTGGTGAAACTTGGCAGTGAATTTCCCCATTTGGAGGAACTCTTGCCTCACCATGTTTCCCTGCTGCTGGCGCTAGCGGGGCAGAGTTGGCTTGATGGCTTCACAGGTCCCTCTCCATAGGAGCACTTTGGATTTTTTTTTGCCCGTGACCCGATGTATGCAAAGTCTGTGCAATAAGGGTGTGTGTAAGTAAGTAAAGTAAGATTTTCTTTTCTTTTCCATTAAGTGGCTTAAGGGATTTTGTTGCTGCAGGAGTAGAACATTGATTCATTGCTCCTTGTTCTGAGTGTTGTGAGGTACATAGAAGTGAAGAGAGTCACAGAGGGTTTCTGATTGCTTCTTGGGAGATTAGGACAGTGTTTCTCAAACTTGGCCGCTTTAAGATGTGTGGACTTCAACTCCCAGAATCCCTTACTGGCTGGGCAATGTAGCCCTAGGGTCAGGCCACCCATCTATCCCTGGCACCGGGAGCTTTGCTGAACTTGTTGAGCACTCGTTTAGCCTCTTCCACTCAGAAGTACATTGCCTAATCCAGTTCTCCAACTGAAGGACTCTCTAGAGCTGTGGACTTCTTCTCCCAGACTTCTCAGCAATGGCTGTACTGGCTGGGGAATTTTGGGAGTTGAAGTCCACAGTCTGGAAGGTACTCAGATTCAATAAAGCTTTAAAGGACATTTTCCGTGTTTGGTTTATTCTCACTTTACTGTCTCCTTTTGTGCGGAGTGAGGTGGTCTCATAAGAGATGCCAATACCTAGCTGCCCTTAGTTTAAAAAGCAAGGCAGGGTTGGACCTGCTTAGCATTTGGATGGGAGATGACCAAGAGGTCCAAGGTCTGTAGGCTCCAGTGGGGAGGTAAACAGAGAATCCTGGAAGGAAACATTGGCAAATGACTTCTGTTGCTGCCAAGAAAACAACATGGATGTTTCCATGAAATTCAGCAGGAGCTGAGTTCAGCTTGAGGACGTCTTTATGTGTTTATAGTTGCAAGGGGAAGGTGATACCAGGCGCTACACGCTATTGGCAAAGTCGTGTTTTATGGAATCCTCTTGCCAGATTCCTATATGCAGAGTCCGTGGGGTTCTCTGAGCTTGGTTGTTTTCTTGCAAATGTTTCATTACCTGGCTGGG